TGGGTTAATCAGTGTTGGAGAAAGATCTGGGTGCCCTTGTACATCACAGACTAGCAAGATTATTTCTTGTATTAGAGCAGGCATACAGCTGACTCCAGAGAGTGTGACCCAACTGTACCCCTATTGTAGTTGAATTTTGGGTGCACATAAAAGATGTCCTGGAATTGAAAAGAGAACAGAGAAGGACAAACAAATTAAAAAGGGGCCAATATTATCTTGTCTATGAGGAAAGATGAACCAAACTAAATGTGTTCACTCTTGAGAAAGACTTCTTTGACTTGCCATTCGCCAATTAGACTTGAACTTCATGCACATGTGTCTCTTTTCAGTCTATCTACCTTTGTAACTATCTCTTCTTTAGTTAAAATATGTTGATATATCTTGTTGGATTACCTAACTCAGTTGCTCCAAAGTTTGTTGCAATGACTTGGTATATGATAGGTATAATTGTCAGACATACACAACTGCAGAATGGACGTGGTAAGGTCATCATTAAGTGATCGCAATTCTAGTCAGTGGTGTACATTTCAGAGCACAGAGATCCAGAACAGAGCAGAAACAGTGGTTTACTCAAAGTCACAGGTCATTTCTGCTACAAAGCCCTGCTTAACTGAAAATGGTTATTTTGTGCGTTAACTGGTTGTAGAGATCTTGTTTGGGAATCTCTGGAATTGTAGGCATGTGTTATTTTATATCAAAATAGCGAGTACCGCTTGTTTCTTACCTACCCTAGAGGTTTACTAAAAGAACAAGCCAAAGGGGTCTATTTATACCTAACACGAACATTCGTTTATGTGCCAATTCACACAGAACAAGCGTTTAGAAAGATTCCGAGGGTGCATCGCTTTGCAAATTGGTTATAAATAGACTTCGAAGTGTAGCTCAGTAAGTGGATTTACTCAAGATTCTCAGAAGATTAAAAATACACATCTCATGATCTTTACTGCCTTACAATGATGACAGTAATAAAATACTCTAAGGGAAAAAAAGAGATTGTTCATGATAAGTCGCCATGCATCATGTCCTTTACAATAAGAGTTCAGCATCCAAACAGCTTTTGAGTTTGACCACACATGAACAACTTTACATAGCTACAAGGTGTAATGACATACTGCTTTCCATTTTTAAAGTTCTTAACTATAAAATGTCTTCACCACTGTATAAGAGGATAGGAGTGATGAATTAAAACATCTATTATGTATAAACTTTGCATATTTAATAAGTCCGTGTTATGGCTGAACAAGCTGTAGCTGTAGCACTAAATACCACACATTGTATAATTTACCTCAGAAATAACTGGTCAGTTTAAATGATGTCACATTGCTAAAAAGTCATTTCTAATTAATCTCTGCATCACTGTAGGAAGAACATTGACAGCTCAGGAATTTCTGGGTGAAGACAGACAGGATTAACTCCATGATAGGGAAGGCAGCCAAATTTGTCTAAGTTCAGAGGCTACTCGCTGTCCTAAAGTGACATCTACTAAATGCGCAAAAGACATTTTCACACAGGTTTGATGTAATCTGAAATGCTCCTGGCCAAGATAATTTTGCAGCTCATCTGCTTGACACATGGCCACTAATGGATCTGTGTAATCAGATGCCCCAGGGCTGAAATTTCTGGAAGACCATAGATTTTCCAATGGCTAATTGGCCGATGGGAACATGTCACTGCCCTAGTACTTTTAATGTCATTGAGGTCTATTAAAAAGATGTATGGTGACAGATGTAATCATTCACCCCTTTTTAACCATTTATTCATTACTTAATGCCCAACTCCAGCTAGAATGTGTTTTTTTAGTTTTGTATAGAGCGGGCAAGGGTTAGAAACTCTATTAGGTTTTTTTTCTGCTGTTTGTGACACCATGTGGAATATTTTCCCTGACTGTATATCTCAGTGATACCCCTGTGATATCAGGACAAGCAAAGATGGAAAATGGATCACAGGTATATATAGGCACACACAGCAAATGAAACCTGATTAAGGTTGTATGCTTTTTCCACTGTGCTTTTGTTGCTGTCCCTATTCCCAATGGAAAAAATTCTCATCACTTCCTGTCCCTCTCAACTCTTGTCATTAGGACAGGAAGTAAGAAAAAATTGGGACACAGATTGCAATCAATACCCGAGAGAAGTTTTAACTCATCCCTGCTCTACCCAAAACAAAAAGAAGAGTTTTCTCTGGAGTTTGGATTTAACTACCACATTACTGTTTACTTGGATTTTAAATCCATGGTCATTCATATCCAACAGAGATCACTGACTGCGTTCAGCTGTCCGATCCCTTTATTTCCAAGAATATGGCTTAATGCAGTATATACCAAAAGTTACATTCACTGTTTTTTTAATCCAGGAAAGTTGCCAACAAATGTTTGTATATGTACAGAGGAGCTTGGCAAAGCAGACATGCAAATCGACTTCTCACAAATGTTATACATAGGTCAGATCTTTTAATACTGTATGAATGGATTTTGTGAAGGCACTGGGGTTCAGCTGAAAGCTTGTGCTATTGTGTATCTTCAGCCAAGTATACAATATGTAGAACTGCATGCTTTAGAATGTATGTATGTATGTATGTATGTATGTACACTGAGTGGCCAGATTATTATGACCACCCCATCAGTACTTCGTTGGGCGACGAGATGACTCCACGAGATGACTTTGTTGGGCCGCCTCGTGACTCCACGAGATGTTGAAAGGTGATGCGAGGAATCTGACACTGCACTGTTGCCCTTCTGTTGTTTTGTACCAGTCTTGCCACTCTCTGTTCTGCCCTAACATTGACTAGTCGCTGACGGCCACAATTCGCACGTTCAGACCCAGATTTTCGGCTGATGTAATTGTAATAATTAAGCAAGTCCCACCAAACACATAATTGCTGTTAAAACTGAGCTTTAAGGAGAGTTTTCCCCGTACATGGTGGTTGTCACATCCCACTGACACAGATCACTTTTTCTGTGAATGAAGCAAACATCTTACAGCTTCTCAGAAGTGTGCAACACATTGGGAGAGACTTTCTTCATCACTGGATTAATAATTACAACACACAATAGCTGACTTGCGATGCCCTCTGTTGGCAAAAAATGTACAGTTATCGGCAAGCTCATGCGATGCACATTGCTTCGACATGATTTATAAACGTTTAACCAAAGTTTTATGGTTATGCCTGATAAAAGTTATCACATGTGTAGCTAATGGTTATAAAAACTGGAGAACAGTTTTAAATGTAGTGTCTTCTAATGTTGGGTAATTGAAATACTAAGAACATAACTTTATATATGTATGTGTGTACTAAAACTGAATGAGAAAAGGCACACAAATTCCCTACCCACGTAGAGTAGTGACTGCAGCTGTCTGGCTATAGTTACTATTGGGCTGAGAATTTTTGGACCAGCTCCTTCAATAGTCAGCAGGACTCGGACAAAATTAGAAAAGTGTATGGGCAGGTTAAAAGTAAGAAATCAATAACATAAATAATATTCTTGAGATTAAGCAAAAAGTTTAATATAGAAAAAATACCTGCTCCGCATAGCCAAGTTTGAGATGGGCAGCCGCTTCATCTTTTGTTAAGAGGATACAGTTCCATGGAGACCACTCGCAGTATTTGTCCCACCTAACCATGACTAGATCATAAAGGTCATCACAGGCACTGACAACAGATTGAGCTGCCCAGATATTCTCAACAAGATATTGGAGGTCTTCTTGCTGCAAAATAAGATATACACGGTCAGTTAATAAGACTGAAGTTGTAACTGCAGACATGGAAACGAAGCCAACCTTCAATAGATCCATCCTAACAAAGTGGATAGAAGGGGATCCTCTGCACACCTTGCAGCAATCAAGGCCTATGTAGACAATGGTGCTTGTGGTGAGGTGTGGTGAGGTGTGGTGGCACCGTGCAGACACAATGTAGGAAGAGGAATCACCAGCACTCAGTAGAACAATCCAACATGTCCATTTATTAAGCGTCACACAATCACAAGAGCCAACGTTTCGAGACCACACAGGGTCTCTTTATCAGGGCATAAAGAGTGACCAAACTTTATGGGCCACTCTTTATGCCCTGATGAAGAGACTCTGCGTGGTCTCGAAACGTTGGCTCTTGTGATTGTGTGACGTCTATGTCCAATAAATGGACATGTTGGATTAGTCTACCGAGTCCTGGTGATTCCTTTTCCTCCATCCTAACAAAGGACACAGATGTTCACAATTGTATTTAAAGCCTCTCTAGGGAAAAACAAAACTCCCCTTGCAGTGGGGTTGCCCCCGCACTTCAAGGGTTAACTGCTCATCTAGGGTATTGTGTAAAGAACTTTTATTTAATTGACCAAAGCCTCCCAGGCAGTCTGCACGCACCTCTCTATCCTCCAGCCTGTGGACCGCCCTTTGGTGTCCTCGCATATAATGCAGAGCTTTGGGCCCTGCATTGTACGTGATGGCAACACTGGGCCATTGTCTGATGAAGCAGAGGGGTGGAAGAGGCTGCTGGTCTTGGAGGATGTGGGAGCAGGCATCAAGTAAGCAAAAATCCTTTACACAATACACCTAGACAAAAACAAGCAGATACCCTTAACTACCCTTGCAGTTCTGGGGTAGTCCCATTGCAAGGGTAGTTTTTTTTTTTGACTGGAAGAAACGCTTTAACTGCTTTGCACACTATATGGTAATCACAATCAGATGACTTCCCATGCTTCCCCACAGCCAAGTCCATACCACAATGTTGCACTTTAACAAGGTGTGGCAGAATTGTGTATTCAACAGATTGAATGCATTCCCTTACCAATAAAATACATTTTGGGCAGGTCTGCACTGAGTGATTTCTAACGCATTAATAAAATGGGGTCTATGGCTGATGCTTTGCACATGTTACAGCAGCTCAGGAAAGCAATATGTCTAATGTAAACACACAGCAAGTGTTTCTACTTTCTAAATTATACCTGCAAAAGCAAATAATCCTTTTTTGATGAACAGACTTACCTGGAGCACAAATGCTATTTTAGCATCATCCCCATATTCTACTTCTGATTTTTTCAGTTGTTTCAGTAACAGTCTATATTTTGAAAATTCTTCTCTCTGTCGAGCTTCATTATCCAGTTTTGAACATTTTCGACACCTGCCAATACTGCGAGCATTGGCAGAAAGAGAAAACTCAGTTGATGGTAAGTAGCTTTTGCAGCTGAGACAGAAATATATATTTTTTCGAAGAACGGCAGGATCTTGTGGAACCTGAAAATAAACATTATAATGAGATGAGTATCATACAACCATATTACCATCATAGCTTACCACTATCATAACTAGGCAATTGGGCCAGGACAGGATTCTCACCAACATAACATTTTGTGCTTTCCACCATATCTTACGCTACAGCAAGGTAATGCTGACAGCACTTAGTGAACTGATTACACCACTTGACAATGATTCACACAAACATTTTACAAATGTTATTTAGTGACAAAGACAGCTGTAGTTACTATGAATTATTTCTAAATTGATCTGTAGTGACTGTACATTAGACGAATGCACTAGCCTTAGCAGGGTCTGCACATGTCTTTATGTGACTTTTCCAGCTCCCCATGTACCCCATATCTCAAGCTGATCTAGCATGGTAATTTTGACACTTGCTGTTTGCGTTGAGAGATGGCCTGCCTCTCACATGACCCTATTAGTCAGTAAGGCCCATCGTAGTAAGAGGCCAGTAGGAATGTGTAGGTGGTATGATGGGTGGGTTACTTCTTGACACTACCAGGAAGTACTGAAATTGGCATGTTACAGCTGCCTGGGTTTTGGGAGCATCATTTAAACTTATGTTGAGGTATCACTATGGAGCTTAATGTTATTGTTGTAGCCTATATAGCACTTTTACTTATAGGATACAAACAGGTTTATTTAAGGATCATCACATAATGACTAAAAGCTCAGTAAAATGAATGCTATTGAAAGCATCCACTATTATGCTGTTGGTACTGGTATTAATAACTTTCTACTTTTACATAACCCTAACCCTTTCTTTGAAGAATAATTAAATAGCCTGTAAAAAAGGTTTTAACAGCACAGTTGTTAATACTGAAAGCTAAAATCAAACACTTCAAAAAGAACGTCAGGATTTTTAAAAAAATTAACCCTTGCAGTAAGGCTACCCCCACACTGCAAAGGTAAAGTGCTAATTTTGTCTAGGTGCAAAAATAAAGAACACTCACCCAGTCCTCAGTCCTGCCTGACTGCTAGACCAGTGCCCACAGCCTCTTCCCCGCCTGGGCTCTGGCGGTCTAAGGCCCATGACATCATCACGTCTATTGCAGTCCATTAGACGTGAGGACACTGAGGGACATACCACAGCCACAGCCAGAGCAGAGGGGAAGAGAGGTGAACGGTCACTGCCACAGGACTGAGGATCAGGTGAGTATTTCCTCTTTATTTTTGACCCAGACCAATATGAGGAGTTAACCCTTGCAGTGTGGGGTAGCCCCACTGCAAGGGTTGATTTTTTTTAAAATGAAAAGACATAAAATGTCCATTCAACAGCCTAAAGGAAACTGTCTATCATAGCACTGAAGCGAAAACACTCAACAGCATAGTGACAGGTTTGCTTTAAAAATACATCAAATCGTTACCTTGAGTAATCTGGCAATTTCAGGGTTAAATGTGGGGATTTTTATGTATTGTAGGAAAAGCGTGGATATTCTCTTCCGAAGTCCTTCCAAGTTGTGTTCTTGTACACCACGCATTAAAAGGTCAGCCTCTCTGTCAATTAGCTCTACAATCTCTTGGGTCAATTTGCAATCGTGTTCCTAAAAGAAACACATGAAAAATATGAAAAAATGCTATATATATATATATATACACATATACATCTGGGTCATGCAAGAAATAGTAACAGAATAACTTTAAACGCAGGCAGAAGCAGTCATGGCATGATTCAGATATAGGCAGAATATTATTTAATATGGCCTACAATGACCTAATTTGAAAAATAATCAGCCTAAGTTGTAGATAGTTTTAGAATATAATGAAGCATTGACGTGGTTTGTTGCAAGCAGGTTACCAAGATTTTAGTTTCCTAACAAAATACCCTTCTACTGAAATGTCTCATCTGGTTTTGCATGTTCAGTAAAAAAAATTGCCTTAGTCAGATGTTCTGACAAAATATCTTCACACAGAGTAAAATATAGCGATCCAATTACTCTGCCACTGTATCAGGAAACTAAAGGAAAAAATCTCAACTTCATGGAATAAAAATATTCATTAAATTAGGCAAATGTTCCATCTGATAGCAGATGTCCTCTGCTTTATAATAAGGCTGTCTTCTATAAAATGGAGTTTATAAAAGAGGTTCTGCGCCAAATGTCCTGCCTACCATTACCCTGCATACTGAACTATAACAAATCCCCATGACAACATATATTACATTGGGAATACAAGCTGGCAGTTACGTTGTAGTGGTCAGGTTTGTGACGTACTCTGGTTGGCTACATGTAAGGTATCCTTAGTGTATACGAGACCTGGACAATGCTCAGCCAGGAGTCAGCTTTTAAAACCTAGAAGCTGGCACTGCGCTGAAAGATACACGTTAAGGAACACTTAAATGGAAAATATTTGCTCTGTTAATTCTCACAGATTTCATTTTAACAATTAAAGAAGAACTCCAGGTTTTAGAAAAATGAACCCTTGCTACCCCTGCAGGTTCTTACAGCCTTTTGTCCCCCAGGCTCCAGCAGTCTAAGCCCCGCTGACATCATCCGTCTAATACAGTCTATTCACCTGTATTAAACGTGAGAGGGCCAAGGGACATTCGGAGCGGAGGGGAAGAGAGGTGAGCAGGTACTGCCGCACGACTGAGGATCAGATGAGTATTTCTTTTTTATCTGAGCCCCCAGAGAAAAATGAACAGTTAACTCTTGGAGTGCAGGGGTAGCCCCACTGCAAAGGTTAATTTTTCTAAAACCAGGAGTTCTTCTTTAAGACTTAAAGTCCCACGCCATGTAAAATATGATCCCTCCCCCTTCTAACCCATCCTACAAGCTTTTCTTTAGTCTTACCTCTTCTTCTAACTTAACTGTGGTGCATATCACAGATAGAAAATGCTAGCAAATGTGATAAAACTTTCCGATCTTTAAAAAAAAAATGAAAATATGACCGAGTAACAAATCCTGGAAAGTCTAAACAGATGTGTGTGTGAAGCAGCAGGCAGGGAACTGCGGATCCACTGACAACAGCAACATTCCTGGATTCACCTTACAGTATATCACCTTATAATATACAATGCCTGATATAACTGTTGCTCAGCCCTGATAAATAATATGCATTCATAAACTATACAGCTAACAAATACTAGGATGGAAACAATAGCAATATGTTAATCTGCTCCAACAGTCACTGGATGGTGAAACACTCATGGAATGCATGATGTAGCCAATCATTGGGAAGTGCTCTGACTCAGAAAGGCTCAGCACAGGGGTCACACAAAACTCCTATTTGGGAGCTGGCTTACTGATTCAGCCACTGATATTGACAGTTGTGTAGTGGCAATGGCTGGCTTCAACTTCCCCACCGGCAATAGCTTTCAATGACCCGGTCACCAGATAATTTTTTCCAAGAAGTGATAGAGATGCTAGCTGCACCTTACAGCTCTCTGACTGGAATTAATGGACTTGGTGATCGAAGTGTCTGCTACGGATGGTGCCGTGCAAATACTGAGCAGTACAAAGATAGGTCACCAGAACTCAATTAGTTAAAAAGCAAAAATGAGTTGCTTTGTTAAAGAATATTGTCCTATAGGCTAGAATTACAACGTTTTTGGGCCATGCAGAGTCCTCCGTGGCCCCGTAACGTTACCATTCTAACCTATAGGACAACAAAATTCTTCAATAAAGCAACTACTTTTTGCTCTTTAACTAATAGAGTGCTGGTGACCTATTTCTCTGCAGATATTTTTTTTCAGTAGCATTTGTGACCTGGGGATCAGGAATTGTCCAGTCCTGGTATATACACAATCCTTTTTTTACAAATACAAAGGCATCCACATTTATTTAAAACCAACAGTGGTTACATGCAACTTGTGTCCAAGCATTAATAAATTACCTTGACAGTATGCTTAAGTGTCAAAAGAGCATCAAGCCTCTCATCACGAGTGAAGTATTGGGTGTTAATGCTGTTATAAATCTCATGTAACTCTCTGGCACGGATTGTAAACTGGGTATCCATCTCCGTTATTCTTCCATCAAATGCTTTCCATTTTTTGGGTTCACAACACTTTAAATGAGGAATGTGATAATAGATCCATTAATACTTAAAATACAGCAAATGAAAACAAAGAGTACTACTTAAAGCTGAGATCTGGGCTCAGTAAAAACATATTGCTGGAAATGATAGCAGCCAAGAATACACGGAGAGAAAAATGTTGTAAAAACAATGCTTATACTGAGAAAGAAATCAGTGCAGGTTAATGATCCTCTTTGTGTAGAAGCTTTAACCAGCTTCAAGCTTTTATGTTCATTTTTCCTGCACCCTTCAAATTAGATCTTTATCCCCTTTGTCTAAAAATCACCCCAGCATACAGCTCTGCATGCTGATATGACATCATATTACATCCATTAGCTAAACAAACATATTTTTATTTTACTTACAATTTTCCCCCCCACTTCCTGGTCCACTTGGGCACAAATGATGTAATTGTGCCCAAGCGTTGCATCCTGTTAAGGTTAAATCATCAGAGTATTGCTGGGAAATCTCATCTGTAATCTCATGAGATGATGTGCATGGTCACATGTCCTAGTCACATGTGCCAGAGTTCCAGGAAGTAAACAGAGATCTAGTAACCTGTCCTTAGTTAGAATGGTCACTGTCAGAAGACTGTCGAAGAAAATAAAAATAAGGTATGCAAAAAAAAAAGCCTGCAAGTATGTTTGTAGTTTGTCATCACTAAACATTTCTAAAGGTGCCTTTGTTGTTATTTGGAAGATATAGGTAAAGTTCCTCTTTAAGCTTAGTCACATGCACACCTTCTGAGAGAAACACTCCCAGGCCTCTGCCATCTTCTCCTGAGTCGCATGACCAGGAGCTACAGTCTGGATGTGGGTTTTTTGTTTAGCTATAGCCTGTACACTTTTTCACTGCTGCAACGGGTGTTCAAAGGAATCATGGGAGCTAGTTTTAACAATTTAAAGTTTATTTCCATTTCTGCAGCCAAATTGGGATAACACCTATTTTAAATTTGATACATGTTAGGTTCCCATTCACATAGCATAAGCAAAAAAAAAAACCAACCCAATGCTTGCAGGTTAAATCGCTTTTACATGGGTTTCTTGGCTTCTCAGGGTTAACATTTCAACTTGCTTCTCCTTCTTTGTAATGTTAGAAGGGGCCGTGAGGGCTGAAGGGTTAAAGGATTACATAATGAGAAAAGGACAGATCACTGTGAAGGTGCTCAGAAAAAAAAATGAAACAGCCATGTTGCCTGCTGCATCAAAACATCTAAAAGGTATGAAATATTTTTTTTCAAATATATTTTTTGTATGCTGCTTGAATAGGAACACATATCAAATATCTCTAATTTGACTGCAAAAGTAAAAATACACTTTAAAGCAGGGATTTAGTACTACATATTTTGAATAATTTCATATTCAGCACATCGTCCAATAGGTTAGTCCCTTGTAGTTTTATTGCGTGCCTGGAGTTCAGCTTTACAATTTCAGATTCTTTTTATTAACCCTTCATGACCCCCCTCACAACACACACTGTAAATGAATGTCTTCCATGCCAGGAGGACGTTAATTAAAGCCCTGCCAATATTACCTGCAGCAGGCTTTGGAGATCACTTTGATCTCCCACAGATCCCTGCATAGTCCAGCTGGAGACCCTGTCTGATCAATCTGTGACCACACTTAGGTTTGATAGATCATGTAATCACCATGATTAATAAATCATGGTGATCAAAAGAAAGTATGTGCCAAGCAACACACTTTCCTGGTCCCTGTACCGTTGTAGGAGCTGCTCTTTGCTCACAGCAGCTTCAGCTGTGAGGAGAAAGGAAGAGCAATACAGTTTCATAAAAATTAATATTATAAATCATCCATGGATTACAGCTATTGTACTCAGCAGAGTAATGGAAACTGCCTAATATCTTGAAATGGTAAAAAAAAAAAAAAATCACACATTATTACCATAGAGCGCTGACTTATGTTTTAAAAGCTACACATATTTGGGGACCCTGTACTCGGCATGGATAGGAGAAAAGAATGTAATAATATTTGTAATAATACTAATAATAAAAAAGGTTAGACTTTAAACAAACTAAAACTGCATTTTTGTGTATTTTAAAAAATATGCTGAGGATATTTTAAAAATAAAAAAGACCAAATGGACGTTTGCTTAAAAAAAGTGTGACATTTATTTTGGCATTCAAAGTAGTTAAAAAGTGTGTTAAAAATGTTATACCCCTTGCAATTGACCAAAACTCAATAAAATTCAGATTATGAAAAAAAAAAAGTTATTGTCAAGTAAACTAGTACTAATACTAAAACTTAAAAATTTGGTCTGATCACGAAGGTTTTGATTACCCTGCGAATGAAAGGGATAAGGCTTGAAAATAACTGCATTCAAACGTCTGCCTAAAGAGTATGTTCTAAGTATTCTGATTGCATAAAATAAAAATGACCATCAAACCCCAATCTCTTCATAAAAGCTCACTTTAGTAAATCGGTTTTTGAAAGTAACAAATACATTTTTCGGACAAAAGCATATTTCTGGCCCAAAGTTATTTCAGCCAGCAAGCCAGAAAAACAAGACAAGTTTTTTTCTGACCAGCGTTTTTTAAATTATCATTTAAGTTAAGTCAAAAGAAAAAAAAATGCTTTTATAGTAAATATAAGCATGCATATCTTTAAAATACAGCAAGCCCCAAGGAAGATCTATGTGTAATTACAACCACCCACAAATTTTACGTTACAGACACATTTAATAAGCTCTATTAACCAGTAACTGCAGATTACAGCCCAGAGTAGGCTCTGGTATCCTGTGAACGGGTGCAAAGATGAGTCAAAGTGCAATGGAAAGTACAGAAACTGGATAATTCTGGTTTTCTTTTTCAGCTTAAAAGCTCTCACATGCCATTTTCCTTTTGCTTAATAGGCAGTATATAATTACTGTGCTGACAACAGTTACAGAATAAAAAAGAACCTATATTTAAGAAATAAAAATTAATGAATGGTCTTCTACAGTACTTTGGTGAACTGACTACTGTGTTGCTGGAATCAGTCCAGTTCTGTAAAAGGATAAGTAATTATCCATAATCTTTAACTGCACATATATGATGTGGGACTAAGAGAGCAACTTTATGATATTAATATAGTTTTGTTTGAACTGAAAGGAAACCTGGAGACTCGGTTCTTGGCATGAAACAACTCCTTTCAAACATTAAGAGGGTACGCTCAAGTCATTCTTTTGGCTCTTTTAAGATAGAACACTCTGCTTTCTGTAACAGCAATGGGAAACACATCTGTCCTTTTCACTACCATATATGCACCCACAAGAAATAATGGCATGCCCATTGACTTGTCATATGAGCCATTATTTACAATGGGAGTTGCGCACACATGAGCCAGAGTGAAGTTTTTTTCCCTGCCATGGAAACTAGGATAGTGCCCAGCCCTGGTAGCCAGTACTTATACTACTTTGTTGAGGAAGAGTAGAAGTGGGTGGGGAGGCATATTTATATTTTATTGGAAGAAGTGCACCTATCATTTATTTTTATTGCAATGCCATGTCTGCAAAAATCAAATGACCTTTAACTATTTATGACTTTTTATAAATTGAGAGTTAATTATTTTATGAAAACGTATGACCACGCCCTTCAGCTTACTGTGGACATGTACTGGTGGCCACCAGAGTTTGCTGGATTATTTCTCAGGGAGGCTGCTGTGTGTAGGTAAATACCATCTTTATGTCAAATATCTTTAGACCTGGTGAGCTTCAGAAACTATTTGTACCTATGTATTAGGTGTCTTTTATATTTACCAATACTGTATATCGTACGGTACGGAATAAATTAAGCATACTGTATATCAGGAACGTGCAGTTAGGGGAGGCAGGTGAGGCAGAGCCTCACCTAGACTTATTGAGGAAAAAGCTGTCAGCTTCATGTCTGAAGCTGACAGCTTTTTCTCCATTCAGATAGGCATCTAACAGGTTACACAGCAGGGAAATCCTCCCCGCTGTGTAACCTGTCATGGAGCCTCAGCGGTGAGGAGCAAGTGAGGGACAGGGAGGCCCCTCCCTTCCTCCTTTACACTAGCTTGGGGATGGGTTGGGGCTTTGTCCGGCGGGGGCGGAGCTTCGACCAACAGGAGGATGAGCTTTGTCCGGCGGGGGCGGAGCTTCGACCAACAGAAGGATGAGCTTTGGTCGGTGGGGCGGTGCTTTGGTTGGCGGGGGCGGGCTGGGGAATGCCTCACCCCGACCAAGAGGTACCGCACGTCACTGCTGTATATACACTATTAACAATACAGAACATTATCATACCACATTCTAAAGTAGAACTAAACCCCCCAATACTCTTGCAGGTGAAGATAGGACTATCTTAGCCTCTATTTAGATCTGCAGTTGTTATGGTTCTGCACATATGACTAGCTACGACAGCAGCCAATCGTGAACTTGAAAGTTTGGTTGAGATATGACAATAGGAAAATGACAACTGTGATAGTTATCACTAGAGGTATGTAAAACAATGGTATGTGTGATGAAGGATCTAATAACATTCATTGAATATTTCTAACTTGAGCTTTCTTTTTGTTAACCATTAAATCGGCGGGTTTAGTTCCACCTTAAAATGCAGCTGGATAGAGTGGAGAGGGATTAGAACACCTGTCTGATTGTTATCTCTGTCTGTGTCCCTGTTCAGAAGATTTACTTTCTCGATTTTGTTCTGGTGGCTGTTATCACTTAAAGTGAAAGTAAAAAACACAACCCAAATGTTGAGTTGTCATCAAAACAGGAATATAGGAGAAATAGTGACACTAGTTCTGGTGGCCCTGCTGACCACCAGGGATTTTCCTCTCTTTGGAGGGATTTCCTCCCTAATAGGACAGCGATGGAAAAAAAAAAGCTGATGGAGGTTATAACCCTCTTTTACCCTGTTCAAAACTGCTGATGGACTACAATCTCAATACAAATTAGTAAACTAAAAGTGAAATTTTAGTCCATCACGGGAGCGAGCTTGGAGCGGTGGCTACTTTACAACACACACAGGGACCATGGGGAACAAAAGTAGTCACCCTCCAGAAGGAAGGACAGTGTCAGCACCAATTCAGAGATGATTTGAGGATCTACAGCTGAGTGATACACAAATAGGATACATTTTTTTAACAGTTAAGATACTTGAACATATGTTTAAGATTTAACACCCAATTTTAGTGTCACTTTAAGTGAGAATGGCCAGCCATACATAATCCAATTAATATTAGAAGACTGGACCTGCCAAGCAGCCGATATATACCTGAATACAGAATGAAATCTCTAAGGACAGACTCAGGTAGCAGATGTCACTAAACATCTAGAATAAGAAAATGAAAGGTAAAAAATAATAGGCTGGCAGCAGGATAAAGGCTGAAAAGATAAATATGTGTACAGGAGATGTGGATGGAATTGTGTGCACACTGGATGAGAATGTCAAAGGACAGGGATAGCAAACAAATAGAGACTATCTTAGGCTTCCATAAAGAGGACAGTCTGAGACAGCAAAAGAGAACTTTCAAGATAAAAGTGCAGCAAGAGAGAAGCAGATCATCTACGTATATGAAAGCCAGCTTCAGGGTATACATGGGGGCAGGGAACCAGAAATAGACAGGTACAGTCAAACGCTATTGTAAAAAAGAATAAAACATTTTCAATAATCCAACAGGGAGCCAGAGCAGACACTGATTAGGGGTAGAAGTGTCATTAGAAACAGAGACAGGACAAATCTTGCAGCCGCATTTATAACAGAGCCGAAGTGGTGCCAAATGTAAATGTGGAGCCTAGTGTAAAGAACTTCAATTCATAATTCATTACTGTATATCAGGAAGAAACCATACAATTAGTACCAGTAGCTAATCTAGTCAAGAGAATGATAATATGTAAATCATTTGAATCCCAGATCACATACAAAAGACAAGCCAGGAATTCCAGTACTGCTGTCAACTGAGCCAACAGTCTCCAAAAGCTTTTGGGAAAGCAAACACAAATTACACAGTTTATCTAGCTTGTACTACACATTGTCTTAGGGCCAAAAACAAGCTGCAAAGATCTTGTACTGGACAGAAAGATCAGAGAAGCTGAGCAGAGAGACTCGGAAGCCACTATTCAGAAACATGATGACTGTAAGTGTTTGAGCAAAAATGTAGAGCAATGCTTTGCTGGACAATGTGTATTTGTATGATATGGATTCATAATTGGAAAAAAAGTTTGAGCGTGTGATACTACTTTAACTCCCAACTGCTGCACTCTGCATGCTGTGCTGTGCATTGCATGATCCTGACAATTGCACTGTATATACTTAAAAAAAAATTTTACTGAGTTTTATATGCATCTGCAAGACTCACTTGTGGTTGTTGTGTTTGTTTTTTAGGGTACAAGACTGCAGCAATTGTGTGCAATAGGCTCACTTTCTATTTAGCCATTTCCGTTATGCCACTCGCACAGTTAGATGCAATCTGGCCATGCCCATTAGTCATTGGAAATGTAATTTCCTTAGCATGCCCCAGACCTTTTACAATCCTAGCAGCACCCCTGCCTACTTGCCTTTCCTTCAGATTTCATACTGAAGGCCCAGCACTACTTTCTTGTACAGACAATAATCATAATCTAGCACAAAACAGACTGATTAACATTTTAGCTCTTATGAGCTTATCTTGTAGCTCTACCTTGTTTAGGAGAGACTGTATAGCTTTCTGCTGGCTTTCTTCTCCAGCATCTATTTTGTGTCTGCCAATAGAAGAGATCAGCTGGGTCTCCTGTTCCAGCAGTGCACATAGAGCTGCTTTCCTTTCAGCACCCGTATATTGTTGGTTAATACGTTCCACTTCTTCTTTTCTCCATACTATAAACAAAATACACAGATGAATTAAACAAAATTAATAATAAATAAAATTGCTACCAACAAATGCCATGAGAAAATCCGACTAGAGCCATCAAAGCCATCATAGTATCACCAGCAAATCAGATGTCACAGAAATAACTTCGGGTGTGTGTGTATAATGTACAATCATACGCATTTACAAAACACATTATGGCATGGTAATAAAACTTGAATAGTTGATGATGGGCTATATTTATAAGGTACAACTGCATGTTTTTTGTCTTAGGGAGGCAAAATAAATTTAGAAATATTGAATGTTTTTCACCAAATGTAGAATGTTCCCAGGCTGTACCTTGCCCTATTATTATCATTATTATTATACAGGATTTATATAGTGCCAACAGTTTGCGCAGCGCTTTATGCCCTACGTTTCCAAATGCCCCTGGGTGTGCTCCTTGCTTTCCAGACTTGCTTACATTTCTAGAAGCCTTTTCTCCAGGCGGCACAGATATCTTTGTTTCTAAGGTCACGTTTTTCAATTATTCACTGTAAAAATCTTAAAGCAGGAAAACATGGCCTTTAGAAAGCAGAAAGCTAGGTTGATGATAAATGTCACTTTTACATTATTATTACAAAAGATAGCCTTAGTGAAGCGCCTTGGCATATTTTGAATCTATTTCCAGGAAAATGGTTGTCCTTCAAATAATACCTCCTCATTTCAAATGAATCATTCTGTTTTGTGTATGGAAGGCTGATTTGATTGGCACCTGGAAATAGAAACATATTTATATTTTTAAGACTTGCACACACAAAAAATGAGTTTTTTAAAGATACAGCCAATACACTCTGTAGCCTTGAAGTATGTCTGGCCATTACGGACAGTCCCTGTTCACCTCTATGGTGAAGGCAAACTGCCATGTGCTTACAGTGGTTAGCACTGTTGTACACGGTAGCAGTACAGTTGAGGAAATCTACCTGGGTTGAGTTTGTGAATAGTTTTGCATATCTTGCTCAAAGTATAAATTTGGCAAACCCTATTGAAGTCTGTGGGTAGTGAGTCATGTTAATATATTCTGACCATTTGTAGAGCTAATAAGCAACTTATTGTCAAACAAACCGCATAGAAAGTGGGGGCACTGCCATAAGGGACATATGCCAATGCCAAACATTAAAAACAAATAAATAAAAAACAGTATCTCTCCCTAGACAGAATTGTTAGCTTTATCTAACAGTTTCAACACACAGAATATGTCTGCTGTGCTCCAACTTTTTACTTTCAAAGTATTTTATTTTTCAAAATAGAAGAATTATTAGTACAAACGTAGTAGTGTCATCAAAAACTTTTCTAGCACAGTGCCTAGCTTTCTCGCAGAAGCAGTCCGGCCACTGTAGCAGTAAACAAAGATATATAAAACATAAACAAATGTAAGGCAAATGGGGAAAGAGCACTGTACAGTAGTATGAGATAGAATGATGATGTACTCAAGAATTATCCACACTGAGCAAATTCAAGCTATTCCGAAGATGATCACAAAACAAAAAGAACAACAGAGAACTAGAAGCCTACGTATATTGCGCTCCTAAGTGCGAAGGTGTGGGAGAAATCGTAACCATCTTGATATTATGCAACATTGCTCGATGACACTAAAAAAGGGATAAGGGTAGGAAAACATCGGGAGGAGTTAAGGGAGAGAAATAAGAAGACTGCTCCGGAGAGTACAAACCAACCCCGCGTCATAAGTCCTAAGAACCGTTCATAGAACAATAGATACTTCAATGTAGAGCATAAATGGGTACCATATTGATTCAAATGTCTTTTCTGTGTCAAGGAGAATGCTCTGCATCTTCTCGTGAACCATTATCCACGACAGTTTAAATTTAACTTGCTTAAAGGGTATTGTTGGTGACTGCCAGGCTTTGGCGATGGTGATTTTAGCAGCCAGTAAGAAAAAGGAAATCAGTTTGTCCTGAAGACTTGGAGAGTCCCGGAATAGGGCGATTTAACAGAACATATTGGGCGTCCCTCGGGATAAGAACTCCGGTAACTCTATATAGGGCATAGAGTCAGTTCCAAAAGGGACGTAACTTGGGGCATAGCCGTGCACAACTTTTTATAGAAATGGGGCTGGGTTATTCATTCCTTCAAATTTTTAAATCTTGTACCTTAGCTGACCAGAGGTAAAGGCCATGCACTGCATTATAGGTTGTTCCTTATTTCTGGTGGCAAACCTGCAAAATTTTCAACCAAAAGTTCGCGATTCACAAATCCTGGGGATTCACGATAAAAACATGGTAGCAGGGAACCTGAACCTCATCCCTAGGCAGCAGACATAAATTGTACTAATGGCTAGGGCCTTTTTGAAAATGACAGATCATCTTCGTAGTTTTTTTCCCCATGATCTAAGGTTTAGTAGTTTTAAAGCTAATGGCCTTGAAGTATATTATAGTGACAATTCTAGGATGATGTTACACTCCTATTAAACAATCATACTTACATTCAAGTGCATGGTAGAGAAGTTCAAAATCTTCCTTAGTCTTCGGATTCATTCGGCGCTCATAATCTTTTCTCAGCCTTTCTTCTTTCTCTTGCTTCTTTCGCAATTCCTCCCTTTCTTCCCATTGCAGTCTCAGGTTTTTTTCCTCTCTAAGTTGCTCCACCACTTTTTTGGCATGAAATCGTCGAACGTAAGTCTGTATTACTATCACCTGAATGGCACGGATTACCACATATTAATTGCAAGACACAGAACTCCAGAAAAACCTGACCAATAAACACATCTTTTTTTATTGCCAGCCTTGTTTACATGCACTATATAATCTTTTTATTATTATATTTGTTTACAGTGGTCATTTGTCAAAGTTAATAAGTAAAGAGCAGATTTCTTTATTTCCCCACCTGAGTGTCTGAGAGTGTGGTTTGTGCTCTTTTAAACAACAACCTCTTGTGGGTTGGCAGAAGTCACCCAAGACTTCAGAACTTCCCAGAATTCCATGGAAACAGGAGGCATGGGACATTGCAGAGAACTTGGCACTGTAGAAGTGGTTGGGCTCCTGACTTTTCAGGAAACATTGTGTATCTTTCTTAGTAATGCTATTATTGGCACTTTAGGTTCTCAGATTTATGCAGAATTTGCACGGCAGGTAAATCCTACATTACTGCCATATAATATCAGCTTTACAAAATATTAATAAAGCCCAGTAGTAACGTTGCCAAGACTGCGAATACGCCAGGTGCTTTATTGCTTAGGCCTCTCTGTACACAAATAGATCAAAGGGCAAAGACATTGGATCACCTTCAAACAACATAGAAAGTATCAGTTATTCTTTGTCAGTGGCATAGCACACAAACACGCACATTCATTCACTTACTGCTCTCACTCTTCTGGCGTGATACTCATCTGCTGTAACATATTTTGAGGGTTGCAAGAGTTTATCAGTTATATTTGATACATAGTAACTTATTTTTGTCATTTGTGTAGACATTGTATTCCTTGACTGTTGAGGCTTGTTCTTTTCAAATACCGTCTGTAGAGAAATAAAAACTATTTGTTAGAGAAACTAAGCACATAAACTGATGAACCTCAGCTTGAAAATGCTAAATTAGAAACAACTATTCAGCAGTTCAAAATGTAATGCTCTTAAAAGAAGTCTTTAATGATTTTAATGATGATCTATATTTGTATTATTTAAATATCGAGAGAGAGAGAGCGAGAGGAGAGAGAGAGAGAGAGAGAGAGACAGATATTGTAGGCACTCAAGTTTTTCATAGGTGAATAAGGAGGTGACAAAGAGAATATTCCTGCCCCAACAGGTTTCATTTATTTTTGTGTGACTCATAGCTACCTGCAGTGATGTTCAGAAGAGTAGCAGTCATATTTAGTTTATGCTTTAACATCAGGGATGTTAAGATTCATGGGTACCCCAAAACAGTAATTGATTTCAACAGAGAGAGTTATTGCTGTAAACTATGTAATTTAAATAAGAAGACAGTTTAGATTTAAACATTTTACCCCCTGGAGTTCTTTTCTGAGTACCATACTAAAGATATTCAGGGAATTATGATTATTTTGTGATTTCACAGACATGTGAATACTTGGAATGTAGCCAATCGAACTTGGATGGTCATTTTGGAATGAGCATAGGCAGGAAAAGGTCATATAAACAAATATACCATATAATTTAATTGGATTTACTGTATATCCCCACCCCAGGCAGAACTACTAGAACATCAAATAACGTACTTCTGAAAACAACTAGCTTACATAAACTTCAGCGATATATACCTGAGTGTCTCTACAGAATACTTCAACTCCTCTATCTGGTCTTTTTTTGGGTACAGTCTGTGTTCCAGCATGGTGGTACACCACTTCTGTCAATTTGTGTCGATATCCACCCAGATACGGTTTGCGGTAGTTTAATCTTTCAATTTCCACTGCTATATCTTGATAAGCATCTTCTCCTAAACAAAAGCATCAGTGTTAAATAGAAAAACAAATCTAAGCTCTGATACATTTATCAGCAGCTGGTATGGTGCCATTATACCAGATCTGCCTTTCCATTTCTGCTTACTATGGAAACAGAAAATATGTGACATAAAGAATTACAATACAAGAGCTGCAAGTAAATGGGTTGTGGAATCTTAGGCACTAAAACAAGCTTTTATTAAGGTGTTTTTATTTTAAATGTTTTCTCTTTTGAGTTCAGATTTTTTGTTGTTGTTATTATAATCCCTTTCACCTATCAGTTAATCCTCAATATCATAAATTAATTTGTCTGAGACTACAGAAAAGGAAAGTTCAGCAAAGCAGCCAGATAACTGATATTTTCAAACAGGAAGGTAAAGAGTGGAAACCCTCATACTTCATTACTGCAGGTTTTCTTCTTTTTAAGTAAGTTTGTAAAAAGTGGTCTCAAATGTTTAATTCTAATTTCATCTAGAAGGATTGGGTATAGGACTTTCAACTTGGATGAATGGGTAAAGGACCCAAATGACCCATTTAATAGTTTGCTAGGGGTGGGGCTAAGTTAGCTACAAATGACTGGACCAAATTCTTGGGATAATGGTGATGCGGTGAAAACTGGCTGTTGTTTCCACTAGGTTGGAATGAGAAGAACTCATTTAAAAGCACACACTTTATGCTAAAAGAATACAGGCTGCAATTAGCATGCCAGGTGGCCTACACAATTTGCTGTGCTGATGTTCTGTTATTTAGGGCAGGGGTTGGCAACAGGTTAGTCGACCATGCAATGTGTAGATCAAGCCCCTGCCATGTTGATCCTATGTTAGAAGTGCTGCCCCAATCTGCACAGCAGCTCAGGGAGGGATAGGGAGACATAGCTACACATTCTGCTGCTCTGGTCCCCATCCTAGACATTGGTATATAATGTTACATACCAGAGCCTGGGATGGATGCAAGGGGTGGATCGCACAGTCCTAACCAACGTTTTCTTAAAATGTTGCTCTTACAGGCTGAAACCAGCTAGCCAGGCTAGATCCAAACCTAGCCTAGCATATTGTAAAAACAATTCTCACTATAGCTAAAAAGGCAGGATATGTTTATATTTTTACAGTTATCTTCCTGTGCAATATGTACTGTATACAGTATATGTTTTTTTCAAATCGTCCTTACTTTTAATGGGGCCTTACTAAGTTATCTTGTAAAAAAACTAAAAGGTTGGTGCACCCTGGTGATCTTTGACCTCGTCCATGTTGTACAGTAGATTTACAACATTGCTTATGCCTGATTTAAGGGATGGTAGCATCACTTTTTTACATTATAACACTTCAGTACAAGCAAGGAACATTGATCAGAAGTATTTTGAATGTTGCCCAACCTGTTTGTACCCTGACAGTTATGACATCTGGCATGCTGTATTCATGCTGAAATTTCATAGCTTTGATTGGATAGTTTTCAGGATCCATTGACTGCATATCCAGCTGGATAGTACCATGAGGTGTGATGCCAAGATCTACTAAAGTCTCATGGTCTTCTACTGTTTGGCCTATAATAACAAAGAAACAAAACAGAAAGCAAAGTATGCCTATAGTGCTATGTGATGTATGTACATTATATTAAATTCTAAACTAATATAGTGCAACACAGAAATCTAATACTATAAAAAAACACTTTTGGGCTGATTTACTATCAGGAGTTGTCAAGGATTTTGCTTTTAAAATGACTGGATAATTGAAGTTAATATTCACAGAATTTATTGTGTGAAGATTCTTGACTCCTTTAGTAAATCAGCTTCTAAGGGCCCAACTACTCTTCCAGGAACAAGAAATGTTTATTTTGCATAACAGTGATCATTTTCAGCTGCAATTCTTTGCATTTGTTGAATACTGTGATGTATGCATACAAACATGAATCTATCATTTTCACTAATGTGAACAAATTACCAATATCTGGTCATATTACTAAGTACCAAGGAATTACTACATTAGCAAAGAAGGGAAGATAACCAGCAGAAATATATGAAAAGGGGGCTGTTGTTATGGACCATTAAAAACATTTTACTTTTATGAAATAAGTGTTTGCTATTCCTTGATATACATACAGTAGAGAAGTACAGTGCAAACTGTGTGATGCAGGATTATTACCCATGTATTCACTTTTGAAAATATTCATAAGAAGCTGCATGCCAATTCTGTTAACTAGGCAGCTGTAATAGTTGTGTAAATAATGATCCATGACAGAAATGGAGAAATATTAATGCATTACCAAACACCACCTACATTTTTCAGAAACATGACAGAGCTGAGGGTTCCAGTGTGAACTCGTGGCTCCGACTGATCCTGGACAGTCACAGGCAGCAATCAGCATAATACCTGTCCTTTAACATGTGCTGACACCTGTCTGGTGTGAAGTTATATTATTAAGACAGAAAAAAAACCTACTTTTCCATTGTATCTACTATAGAAGTAAATAGGTTGGAGTTTCATATAGCTATTGATATTAAAAATGACTAATGTAATCTAACTTTAAGGTTTTAATCATGCCCCCCTTCTTTCTTCAAAAATGCACATATTAAAGCCCACCTGCAGGATAAAATTGACCACCCTCCTACCGCTATAACTGACTGCTGGCAAAAAAAAAACAAAACTAAATGGCCATTTTACTTATAGAGATGTAATCCACCAATACCAAGTCTTCTCTCTTCCTTTGTTTACTTCCCACTGGGTCCTTCTTTGGGTGACCACAATACTGCCTGCATGACGTGGACACTCTCTATTGGCTGTCCAGTGTCAGGGTTCTCTCAGGATCAGAAGTGATGTCGTTACAAGGGGACGGTAGGGGACTGGCCAGAGAGGGATCATCTGCAGCACCAGAGTAGGAGTCCCCCGCACCCAGAAATGGCTTTGGTGAGGGATCTGTAGAGGTGAGTATAACTTGCGTCACAAGGAAAGTAAAAATAAAAACCCTGCTGGATGGGTTAGAGGGGGTGCGAAGGAAGGAAGGGGAGTCAAAATTTCACCAGCATGGGTCTTTAAGTTCCTGCTGTCTCTCTTGATATGTTTAATTTCTCAGACTTTTCACCCTTTTTGATGCCAATGTCTCAGGATTCCTTCTATGTTATCAATACTCTTTTGCAAGAGAGATCTCCAGAACTGGACACAGTATTCAGAATGAGGTCTAACTAAAGATTTATATAGGGATTTCAGGACCTCCTTCCTTCTGATGGTGACCCCTCTAGTGATACACTCCAAAACTGAAATCCACTGAGTGACACAGGATTGTAGCAATTCTTGGACATGTGGTTATACTGCTGCCTATAGGAGGATTGGACACTGACAAACGAAAAATGTTAGTCAGCCCCCGTATAACCCTTCTTTCAAACGTCATACCTCAGTTTTCTGAGCAAGCAGTACAAAATGCCAATACCACAAAGGGTGGACAGTTTGAAACCTGTGTCCCACAATGGACTACAATAAAAGGTTGTATGGCAAGTACAAAAATCTTATTCCTATATATCTTAAGGGACACAGGACTGAAGTCATTCTTGGACATGTGGGACATCGTAAAGCAGTCAAACTGAAAAATGAGCAAAGCCACTGAGACATGTGGAATCTTACAACAAAAGGAAAAAAGAGGCTTGACAGAATTGAGTGAACCAAAAAATGGAAATGGTTATTAGTACCAAGAAAATAAACCTAGCAAAGTAGAAGGCACCCATTCATCCACCTTAAGTTATAAAACAGGCAAAATAGGTTAGACCAGGAGCATAAGGTGGTCAACAAAAACGAAAAAGTTACTGAAGAAAAAGGCCTAAGTCTAGCATACCTAACTCTTAATGGCAGGGAAAGGAAGCTAGGACAGACAAGGTGTGTCCACAAAAAAGACAAAACAGTAAAAAAAAAGGCTTAAATAAAACACCCTCAAACCTTGATGACTTCAAGGAGAGGGAGGTCCATAAAAGGAGCCCTGCAAAAGATGAGCATGGGAAAATAGAACCCTTGAAGCATCAAACTTTAAAGTGATATTGAAGCTTTGGGGGTTTTTTTATATTTCTTTCTAGGAGGGCCACCTTTGAAAAAAACTGCTGTCGTTTTTATGGCTCCTCTGCCATCGGTATTCTCCCTCCGCAACCAGGAAGTTCAGGGAACGGAGGATCCATTTGGGACCGACGGAAGTGAGAAGCACCGCTGACAGGTAAGTGTGGGGAGGAAGGCAGAGAGAAAAAGGTACTGGCCATTTTTTTACCCTAATGCAGAGAATGCAGGAATCTACCTACGAGAACTAGGAATAAAAAAGTGAGCTAAATAACAGGAAGAGAAAGTGTCCTCCAGTCCCATGAAGGCCTCTGGACTTTTAATATACCATGTAGGGGATGTGTAGAGTTGGAAAAAAGAACCACTGCTTGAATGAGAGATATAGACTGTTTACAAGGTACTGCTTAGAAGCAGATAAAGAATGGGGTTGTCCATCTACAGATCTTCTGCGCTGAGCTGAGCATATACTCCAGCCACCAGAAGTATCAGATATGACATTGTCAAGGATAGAACCAAAGAAATGTCTACCATTAAAGTGATAGTAAAGTAAATGATCTGTTTGGGTATCCTCTGCATGCCAAGTACGAAGTCAAAGCGGACATTAAGCCCATGTGAGACACAAATGTAGATGTGTTCAAGAGTCTCTCACAGGTGAAACACAGTGCTTCAGACATTTATTCCAAAAGCTCCATAGTAAGATTTGGCCCCGAAATGGAGAGCTCCCTTTTGACATGGATGCACAAATTTTAGTCAGTGCCAAAAAGGGTAAGACAGTTATACCAGCTAACTCCAGCTGACACATTTCAATCTAAGTGGCAGTTAGTGAAATTCTTAAAGTTAGCAATATCAGAAAACACGCTTGATGACTTGAGATGAGCAGAGATCACTTTTTCCTTTCAAATGGAAAAAGTTCAGTTACATTGGGAGCCATGACTCCACGGATTGCTTCCAATCTTCATAAAGGAAGGACTAACAAACAGAATATAATGGAAAGGTCTTTGTAGTCGCAGCTCTAACAGACCCAAGGCCTGGAACTGCATGCAGATGCCCTAACATACTACATCAAATACAGGATCAAGTACCTCATGAAAAGCTGAGTAGGATGAGACTTGCTGAAATACAAACTCTTCTGAAGAAAGCTGTGAAAACTCTGAATCTGAATCACAGATGGTAAAAGCCATTCTTAGAGGTGGTGCCATAACAGTGGGTTCTGTTGTGAAATGCCTCTGCAAGCAGGTTGTTGCATTAATTATATACATACTAATCAAATCTCTGAAGAGGATATTAAGGGTTTTGTGGATGTATGTGAAGTCTCAGCCTCACATTGTATAAGACTCTGAAGAGGACGGTCCTATGGTAATAGGGGGTCCCAGGATCTATGTTACAGGTGTTAGTCCTTTCTGAAAAAAAAACTGAGAAATATGATTGAGGTGATCAGCTGCAGTCGGAAGGCTCAAAGTGAGGCAAGGCCGTGCGTACTGACAAACCCAAAATAATGGTACTTATGAGAGTCACAGGTGGCTAGAGGTAACCAAGTCACTATAGGCAGGCAATGGATGGAGACAAGAGACCAAATGATCCACAAGATCTTAGAAGCAGGAGCAGCAATTAGACATGCTGAAAGGTAGGAGAAAGAATGTGGAGCGTGCACCTGTAAAACGCCACCCAAAGCTCAGCATCAGTGCTCACTTTCTTCAGCCTAAACTTTCATAATGCCAAGGTGACAAGAAAAATGTAAAAAGTGCGCAATTGAGGGAACTGTGAGCTAACTCCCATTGCTACAGTGCGACTGATTTTATATAGGATGCGAGTTTTCAAAGACGGAGCGCAGCAGAGGCTCTGAATCCGGAAAAACACAGTGAGGGGGATTTATAAAACTGAAGCAGACAAAATCTGGAGCAGTTGCTCATAGTAACCAATCAGCTTTCCTCTTCAGTTTGTTCAGTTAAGATTTGAAAATGAAAGAGAGAAGCTGATTGGTTGCCATGTACCGCTGCTCCAGATTTTGTCTGCTTCAGTTCTGATAAATCCCCCTCTTTGTATGTAACACAGTACACCAACATACAATAATGAACAAAACAGGAAAAGATTCTTGAAAATCATAATTTGTGGTGCATGGTTAAAAAATAAAAAAAATGTTTGAATGATAATTTTTACAGACTTTCTTATGTAGCAAAAGCATTAAATGAAACAGTAAATGGTATTTTCATTTCAGACACAAAGTAACTGTAAGGTCTCCAACAGATTTACAGTAATATGTTTAAATTACAAAACAGTCTGTGCAGCAGTTTTCTATTGATTTTAAATGAAACTTGAGCCTTCTTTTAAGGTTAATGAACCTGGATAAAAGCAAGTTAATAAGACCGCTTTACATACCTTCAAACATAATACGTATGACTGTTTCTGGTATTTTCATCTGGGATGCAAAGTAACTTTTAAGGTTTCCCACAGACTTTCCAATGGAAAATGCAATAGTAACCACTTGACCAACAGGTACTAGCATTGCCTTAACTAAAAATAAAGGAACAAAATTGTACATTAGCGTTTCTTTTCAATTACCAAAGTAGCTTTCTGTATATGGTTTGGTTTGTCAATGTACATAAAGCTTTGGTGCTGTGCAGCGACACAGGTTATCATTGGCCTTATTCAGTAAAAAGTGTTAATCCGTAGAGAGCAATTCTAGGCAACAAGTAAAATCAGTGAGCTACTAATGCAATCAAGTTAACTCTATAACTGTGCTAAAGCCAGAAAGTTTTAAAATCTATAAATCTTACCCAATCCTTCAAATCCAAATTTCAAGCAGCACCTCACATGCTTAGTGGAGAGTGTATTTCCTAAAACCCATGATTTCTCTCTCTCCCGTTCTAGCATCACTAATCACAATGAAGCTTCCAAGACATGTTTGAAGGTGATTAGTGGCTTTTAGAAACTTCTTAGTGCTGGCTTTTTTTACATTAGCCTTTCAGTATGTAAAAGGCATCAATGAGTCTTCAGATGAAGTGTTCCAGCATTACAAGCAGGTCCTATGCTAGATCACCAGAGTCACGGAAAAGTGGACTCAGGCCCTATAGCAATTCCTGGACAAAGAGCTTAAGCACTTAGCCGGTACTTGCAAGCTCCTTACATTCATTTCAAGCTTTAATTTTCTTGCTAGTTAGAGGCCCATCAAGAAACAGACTGTTTATTTGGGAATTATGGAGACAATCCCTATCAGATTTTCAATAGGTGTTCCACACATATTATATTGCAAACTAATATGTGTGGGTATGCTCAGTACTTGGAATGATAGTGTTAGTATATGAACTTTGATAACAAAATGCAGATTAAACTTTTGCCAATCCTTTTCATCACATTTTAAAATACAAGGACACAGCTAAAATTCTGGCTAAAGACTATAATGGCTGATCAATATTAGCTCAGTGTATGCGTCTCAGGACAGCCATTTACAATCCTTGACTGAGCTCAATGCAATTTTTAAAGATTCTAAGAGGAGTTGGCTGTTTGGTTTGTCCCCCACAGCCCATTGGCTTTCTTTAACCAGTTGCCCCCCCTAGAGTGCGCACGAGCAAGCAAGTTTAAACACACTGTCCGGTGGACAGTGTAGTTTAAACAACTTGGTGCAGAGCCAGTGAAATCACTGGCACAATTGTCGGGATCCGCTTCAGCTGCGGCGTCTCAGTATACCGCGAGCAGCAGCTCGCGGTATACTGCAGCGTCTCAGTATCCCGCGAGCGACAGCTCGCTATATACTGAGCCTAGGGTGACAGGAGGACGCTAGTTTGTGTCCTCCCGTTACCCAAAGGAGAACTATGAGGAAAAGCCTTAACCCCATAGTTCTCCTTTTAAGTTTCATGCTTCAGACCTAACTGTAAATATTTAAAAAACTACTACACATTTTCTTTAGGCCCCTTTCACACTATCTGAGCAGAAGGGGATCCGTGCACGAATCGGATGTCACCGCTGCCCATCCAGTTTTTTTCCTCCATTGCAAGAAAAAAACCTGAAATGACTAGACCCCATATCGGTCTATGGAGAATTGGATGTAAACAGACAGGTGTTCACTGTTCCGTTTGTTTTTCCGGACCTGGCCAGAGCCACGGGCAACTGGTTGTAAACAGACACATGTCCGTTTAGATCTGGCTGCCCATAGACCTACATTGGGCATCCAATTGGGTCCGCCTGAAAAACTGGCAGATGGACCACCCGTCTGAAAAGTGCCTCAATATATACTGCAGTTACCAATTTTTCAGCATCATCATTGCTGACAAAAATCACACCTGATGGAGCATATGGCTCCACATTAATTTATGCAAACATAATCCTAGATTTTGCCATTCTTTTAGTAACAATTAGTCCATTTTGTTGAATGATGTTGAAGATGAAGCACAGCTTTGCTATTTTAATTTTCTTCTCCCATGTTTCATGCTCTCCTCTGACTTGCTTATTTGTGTACACATGTAATGCCATCTGTCCATTCTTTTTATATGTAGAATTAAGCTGGCCATACACTGTGCGGATTTCACCTGTCGGCACCTTTCCATCCAGCATCCTTCGATCATAAAATGGATGGAGCCAGATGGAAAATCTTTGGATGAACAGTGACGACAGCCAATAAATGTTGTCACTGTCCGTGTATTCTGACAAAAGATACAGCTAGAGATCGTCATCCAGCCACGCTGTTTAGCATAGATGGAGGAATCTGTAATATATATATATATTTTTCGTTCAGCCCGCAAACCGAACAAAAAAAATATAACAGTGTATGGCCAGCTTTAGTTTGTCCAAAGAGTTACAAAAGGCATCAAAGTTACATACAATACAACTCATACAGTACCAATTCTTAATGTTTGGCAATTTGACAGTAAAGAGATGGATGCAGGAATGCACAGAACCAGTGGAAGACAGGAGAAAAAATGAGATGAGAATTTTGGAAACTGAAAAAAAAAACAGAAGACAATACAATATAACCATACTCAGTAGCACTGATACGGTATATATTACTACTAACTTTAGAGTAAGGCAGCTGAAGTCCACTCCAATAAATTACCTGTTGCTGTTGGACTGGTTATATCTGAAGAAATGTTCTTATCTGTTTCTGCAGATGGATCCTCTTCTTCTCTTTTTGACACTGTAATCTCTTCTGCCTGTGTATGATTTATTATTTGTACATGTTCTTCCTGCATTGGCTCTGGCACCTGCTCTTTTTCTGGTAAATCAATGCTGAGCTCTGAAGCAGTCTGATCTCCAATAAGTTGCTCCCCTGTCACAGCTGGATCTATAACACTGTCCAGTGGTGTAAGTTCAGCCTCCTGTTTATGTTGCCTTTCAGCAGAATCAGGTTCATGATCTTTGCTGACCATGTCCTGACTGGTATTTAAATCTTCTGAGATATCTGGACTTTCTTCAATGTCAGTATGCAATTGCTCATCCATGCTTTGTACCCCTTCACGCTGAACATTGAAGTTCTGCTCTTGTTCCTGCAATGCTTCCTCATCTCTTACAGATGGCACAATGGAAGCCATGTCTTCACTGAGATCATTAACTGCAGTTTCTTCATTCTCCTCATAGGTTTGCAGACCGACATCTGTACTGTCAGAAGGTTTACCTGAATGTTCCATTCTGGGGTATGAGATTTTGTTTTAATAGATGAGATTTATTCAAAAATCTAAAATAAAGAAAACAAAATGTTGTTAAGTTTCTAAATCACATCAATTTCTTCATATAAAATATGTTGTGGTCAAAACAAACATCTAACAGAGACTTGTATATTGTAGTTGGCACCTTCTGCATATACTTTCCAATATTTGTGTAGTGCCCCACAACCCAAAAAAGTAGTGCACGCTAATGGCAAAAAGGAGACCAGTCCCCATGGTTGCTGGCTGTTGCTCTTCCTCCTGTCTTACTGTTGGTTGGCGAAGATACCCACAATAATGGAGGGTCAGAGACAAGGCAGAGAAAGTAAAAAAGAGTATGGTCACTGTTACCCATCAGAGAGCCCCACTTTTCTAAGGTTCGGAGTTGGTCTGTAAGAAATTAGAATGTGCATGCAGGCACATGCCAACTGCAGTATGTAAGCGTCTTTTAGATATTATGTGGTCACATATTTATTTTAAAGGTTACTTGTACAGTTATATCTATAAAACAAACAACAGCTATGGTAAATCACTTAGTTGTCTCGCTATCAACACCATGGATCAAACAGATGGCAGCAACAGAACATCTCCATCAGCCATTAAGGGTCCTTAACCAGTCCATACAGCAAAAAGTTTCCCAGCACACTCACAAGCCAGCATGCAAAAAAACTTGTCTCACCGCTAAGGTTAAAAACAGAGGTTTGGATACACGTCTTCTGCAGAAAATGTGATAGCCGCACAGCTGCGTCAAGGCACCTCTAAATAGTGCAGTCCCAACTCCATCTTGGAGCACATGTGGCAAAAGATCAAATTGGGTGCAGGTTTGTCAGGAGGAAGCCCAACCTCCCTTAAAGGCACAGGTACGCACAAGGGATCCCACACACAACAATGGCAGCTGAGACCGCCCATGCGTCACTGCACCAAATCAGTCAAGCAAAACAAATGGCAAACACACTCATCAATTTATTACCAGCTTTACAGCAAGGTGCACATGGAAGGGCCTAATATAGTACAAAGAGCGACACGTTTTTTTGCATGATGGCTGGCGATTGTGCTGGGAAAACTTTTTGCTGTTTGTACTGTATTAGGCCCTTCCATGTGCATCTTGCTGTAAAGCTGCAGCTCGCGGTATACTGCGGCGTTTCAGTATACCTTGAGCTACAGCTCGCGGTATACTGAGCCTAGGGTGACCGGAGGATGCTAGTTTGTGTCCTCCCGTTACCATAAGGAGAACTATGGCGAAAAGCCTTAACCCCATAGTTCTCCTTTAATAATATCAGTGGCAATAAAAGTGTCTACTGATAAAATAATTGCATTATTAGCACGGACTAGTACACTTTATTTTTCATTGTATCCCTTAAAGATATTGAAGAAAAAAACACTTGTATTTATATGGTTTAACTAGGCTGTGCTTATGCAACAGATCCATTGGCAGATAGCTAAGGAAAGATACATACAAGGACAGGTTGGTATTGTTATGGATAAAAGGTAGTCCAGGAAACAGCTAAATACACTAAGCAGTGCAACAAATGTCTACAGAGAGTCAGTATAATAAAGGCTACTTCATAGGTAATGGGATTCGTATGATTGTGTGTCATCTCTGAACTTGGCTACATGAACAAAGATGGTGCTGACCTTCTCACAATAAAGAAAAGTTAAAACCTGAAGGTCACTATCCAGGCTAGCCGCACCATCTTAAGTCCAGCAGAGTCCAGGTATGGCCTCCAAAGCTGTTCCTGAGGATAGGCCGATGCAGCTATCTGCTGTAAAGAAACTAGCTCAATGAGAGTATTTGAAGTCTTGATTGAGGTTACTGAAGAAAACATATTCACAGATTATCGAGAGTCTTGACTTAAGACCTTCTTAAGAGAAACATTTCAGTAAAAAAATAAAGTCAGAGATTTCTCAGTAGAGCTGAGGATAAGGGATCTGACCTCTTAGGACACTAGCATGACGGTTGGAGACAGGGTTATATGGAGGCTGATATAACGTTCTTTGTTTGCCAAATCTCCTGTAGGCAGCAGTATAACCCATATGTCCATGGGTTATACTGCTGCCTACAGCAGCAGTATAACCCATGGACATATGGATCTACAATCCTGTGTCCCTCAAAGGATATTCAAGAAAACAAATGTGTTAATATACTGCAAAAGAATCCTAATTCATTTGCTGAAGTATTTTAACAATAACCTAAACGGCCTGATTCATTAACACCTTGTATTGTATCTGTTATCAGTGATTCAGAAGATAAGTTATCTATCACATCTTTTTCAACACTCTTCTCACAGATGAGTCAGGAAGTAGCATTTATATATTTAACTTTAACAAAGAAAAGTAAAGTAAAGATAAACCATTTTAAAGAAGAACTTGTGTTGACATGTGTACAACACGAAAAGGAACAGGTGCTATGACCTGCTTGAGTAAACATTTCCCACAGCTGCTATAAAGAGTTCATGAAATACACTCATCCCCATAATTAGAACCAACGTGTGTCACATGTCAACTCTGAGGAATCGGAACTGGGCGATTACATAACGCCGATCGCTCAGTTCCTGATCTTCTCCCGGCATAGAGGGAACTGATCGATCAGCAGGGATTCCCCTTTCCCGTCTCTGTTTCTCTAGTGCTAACTGGAGGAATGGACTGGGGAGGTGGCGGGCTCTAGAGAGGCAGAGCCAGCTATAATCAGGCAGCTGCAGTGTGGCTCTGCGCTGTCAGCATATAGCGAGCAATAGCCCGCTGTATGCTGAGTTTTAGGTCACAGGAGGACATTAGTATATGTCCTCCTGTGACCCTAAATAGAACTAAACAAAAAGATACCTTGTCGCACTTCTTACCAGAAAAACACAAAATTGAATGAGGGAGGGTGCTTGTAGTGACCTGCGGATGGCGCCACCACACAGCATAAAGATGAATAAATGTCACCACCACAATACCAGTATTGCATTCCAAAGAGTTCGTTTATTGGAACGTCATGTCACCAAAACTAGCGCTTTCTGGGCCACGTAGGGTCCCCTTCATCAGCCTCAGCAGGGTCCTCTTCATCGGGCTCAGCTCAGCAGGGCCCCCTTCATCAGGCTCAGCTCAGCAGTGTCCTCTTCATCAGGCTCAGCTCAGCAGGGTCCCCTTCATCAGGCTCAGCAGGGCCCCCTTCATCAGGCTCAGCAGGGTCCCCCTCATCAGGCTCAGCTCAGCAGGGTCCCCTTCATCAGGCTCAGCTCAGCAGGGTCCCCTTCATCAGGCTGGGCCTGATGAAGGGGACCCTGCGTGGCCTCAAAAACGCTAGTTTTGGTGACGTGACAATAAACGAACTCTTTGGACTGCAATACTAGTTGTGTGCTGGTGACATTTATTCATCTTTATCCTAAATAGAACTATGGCCAAAAAAAAGGTTGGGCCATAGTTCTCTTTTAACGGATTGTCGTGAGACACTTGTATTCATTACACATGTCATAACACGTCATAACACATATAATACATGTTCATCTAGAAAATGGCGCATTTTTATCAGTGCGTCACTCTTTATTATTCCCCACATTCACATTTCAGAGCGTCAGAGTCTTTGGTCATTTTTTTCATGTTTGTACATGCATTTTCAGGCTTGAGCGTTTTTGTTTGAACCAATGGAAATCTGATTACTAAAAGGAGGAAACGGTTCTTAGGAGGGAAATCATTGAAGTTTTTTTGGGCAAAACGAATGTGATACTGCCCCAGAATGCTGAAAAAGAAGCCCCTGTGTGTCAACACATCGCTCCGATGTGAACGGGCATTAAATCTGAGCGTTGAGCCTAAAAGAGCTTCTGGAAACGCACTTTAAACTGTTGAGGTGTGAACGCCCAGGCCCCATCCACAAGTGTGTGAATTAGCCCCAATCATGGTAATGTGGATGCGACTGCGCACCTGCATGCATATGCGCTTTTGCACGTCCTGTACAGGGCAGTGCATTCATTTTCTTGGACTTCCCTATGTGCGACAATGGATTTCAAATAGTCTCTCCATCTTTTTGTAACTTTGTTACCATGTGTCTTGGTGTGACTTCACACACGTGAATGTGCATGGTGAAGTAAGGGAGCTAGGGTGCCATTAAAGGAGAACTATGAGGTGAGTGCTTTTCACTCACCTCATAGTTCTGGCCGACCTGTGACAATGAGACTGTCACAGGTTGGCTCAGTAGATCGGGAGGTGAGCGAACACATACCGGCGTTCGCTCACTTCTCGATCCTGTCACGGCTCTCTGCTGTGACAGGGGGAGGGTCTGGATTCCCCTCTCCCCGCTCCGATCTGCCAGCACTGACTGGCGGAACGAACGGGGGAGGGGGCGGGTACAGCTGGCTCTGCCTCTAGATAGGCAGAGCCAGCTGTCACTCACGCAGCTGGGCGGATCCCGTCATCTGTAACTCACGGTATACGAAGCCTAGGGTGACGGGAGGACGCTAGTTTGTGTCCTCCCGTTACCCTAAGGAGAACTATGGGGAAAAACACTGACCCCATAGTTCTCCTTTAACAATATATGGCATGACAGAGTGTCTTACAAAGTGACACACATTTTGGTGCACTGCGGCAACATGCACAAAAACGTGTGAATTGCCGCAATGCAGGTTAATGCCTGACAGGAGAAGGTGCATTCTTTTCTATAGGGCCCATTCACACTTAAGCGCTGCACTGCCGTGCATTGGGAAAAACAGTACAGGGGCGTTCTTTTGTGCATTGTCAATAGATTTTGATGTCTGTGGAAGAACAACACATGCAACATACATTTCCCTGTGTTTTAACACAACAAGCCCCCAGTCCCTAGCAACCTCGACTTATCTGACTTTCATTGGCTAAGCAAAAAAAAAACCGCAGAACACATAAGGACACATCAAAAGCGTCCATTTACATTATGTGCAGTTACCACGTTTTCCTGCGATGGATGAATGCTGGTAATCACAATGAAAACAACAGCTCTCTATGTGCCATGTTCACACTACAACACTGCGTTTGTG